GGGCCCGGTTCCTGAAAGGTCGATCATGGTTAATCCAGGATTAAAATGTTGTTTGGTTTTTGTATTTTACATTCCTGTGCATTGCTCATGGTAACATTTTGTGTTATCATTAGTGTATCTTGTAGTAAAAGCTCAACAGTATGTTGTAACCGCGAGTTGCATGTTCTTAGACTAGAAACCCTTGCTTGAAATTTGGCCTAATCCTGGGTTAAACTCAACCATCTTTCGAGGAACCAGGCCCAGGTTTGTTTCATACAAAACAAAGCAAAATAAATCTAGCATTCCTTACTTGGTTGCTAGTGGTGTTTTATCTAGTTAACTTTTTTGTTTTGTTTGTTGGACAATAGGAACAGCAGCATATCAGAAGCTTCATGGTTTGTTGACCAACAAGACACTGGTAAATGATATAAAGAAGTGATCTTCTGATGCACAGACCAACTGCTTGGAGGGATTTCATTCCACCCTTAACCATTGGCACCCCAAAATGATTTGCTTTTCCTGGCTAGGAACCTACTGCAGGTAAAGAGTTAGTTATGTCATAATATTAGTTAACAACACATTTGATATGTCGTTTTGGAAAATAATTACAAAGCAACTTCCCTTCACTCAGTCATTGCTGTATACTACCCACCAGGGTTTCTAATATTTCCCTGGGATCTGCAAACCAGATCACCTGAGGTAAAATACAATATCTGCTACATGTATGCAATAATAAGCTGTGCTCAGATTGCATGCTCTCTTTTCCTTGTAAGAAACGAGATCACAACAGGTTAACCTAATAGATTGTGAAATGTGTTGTAAGAAGCAAGCCAAGTTGCTAGCCTGACAAGGATATGGATTGACTGTCGATATCTGCTGTTATTGATTGCTTTATCCTGAAGAGGTATTTGTTACATTATTAGAAGTTGATTTGATTTTTTTTGTTTTTCAATATTCACATTTTAGGCACATCTTAGCAAGCCTACATTTTAATGAAAATGTTCAACGCGCAACACAAGTTGGGAAAAATGGACTTGAGTATATTAAAGTGTCCTACCCAAAATATAAACTTGGGGAGGAAGTAGTCCGTGATGTGAAAACACCTCCTTCATATGGTAAGTACATTTTATGTACATGTATACCATTTACACAAACCGGATTTTGTTTTGAAAAAAGTTGCACCACCTTCTTGCTGGATAGTGTAATCTAAAGCAATAACCTGTATGAAAAGATCTTACTTTCAATTTACTTGCTTTCCTGTTAATAATGCATATACACACACATGTATTGTAATTGTTTGCGTCAATCCAGTGAATTGAAATGCTCAAAAATAATTGAAAGTGCTGTGTAGTTTCATTTAAACATTATCTTAGCTCAAAAGTAATCTTGTTGATTTTGCAATTCAGATTATGTCAGTGAGATGAGAAAGTTGCTTTTTACTTTGCCAAGAGCTGTGATGAAAGAGACATTTACAAGGTATTCCTCAAAAGCTCCAAAATCCCTGACTTCAGTGTTTGAAGACCGGGTTACAAAGGCTGATGCAATAAAGGCATATGAAGAAAGGAGACAAAAGGACAAGACTGCCCTCTTCCCAACCAGTAAAGTTCTTGCAAACTGTTTGTTTTGTTCATTCACCATTTTCAAATAGACCTTAATTCACCTTGTCTACCCCCAAAAATGCTGCATAACCAATGTTGCATGTCCTGGGTATTTCCAAGAGAAAGTGAAGACAATGGTTATTGCAAAGGTGCCTTATTGCCATGTGAAAATGGTGAATTGGAGAGTGTTTATGCACATCTGCCTCATAATCCTTTCCATTGCTATTGTATTGTATTATTATTATGTCATACATGCATGTACCTCCTCACACCTCTTGCTTTAAACTCTTTTTAATACTTTGGTTTTTGTTTACCACCTATTGAAATTCCAAGTACAGTAACTTTGAAAATGACACATGCTTACTTGTACCGGTCTCAACTTGCTCAACTTTGTGCGGGTGTATTCAGTTGAAACTAATAACTGGTAAATACTTTTAAATGTATATGCATGGTCTCTGTGTGATGCAAGGTAGTACTGTCTTTTTCTTTGCAGAGAGAGGGGGAGGAATGCTGGGGTTTGGTTTTAATTAGACCATATATGCAAAGTCTCTTTTTTGATTGTAGGGGAAGAACAAAGTGCCATGGAAAGAACAGTCCAAGAATCTCAGCCTTCCCATTTAAGTACAACAAAAACAAGGAGATGCCGCGAGTGCAAGCAGCCAATGCGAGGACACACTCGGGAAAAATGCCAACAACACATGGCAGAATAGATGTTTTTCTCTCCCATATTACTTTTTCATTAACTTCTGGTTCCTTAACATTCAAGGGACATTTTCCACTTTCATGTTGTGTTTTGTAGAGTTATGGTCTCATTGCTACTCGCATATGTATAAGTATGATACCGTATTTCCTTGAAGAATAGCCTGGGCGATTATTATCTTTTTCGCCCAAATAAGGGGGCGATTATACACTATGAAACATTTTTTTGTTGAGTTTTGATGTAAGAGGGTGACAATCAAAGATTTCTCTACCACATCATTTCTAAAGAAAGTTATTGATAAATTATTGACTATTTCAGGGTGTAATAACAGATACAATGGTATTTGAACGTCAGAAATTAAAGGAGCTGTGTCACGAAATCTAGCCAAATTAGGTAATAACAAAATGCCCGCTAAATTAAGAGAAACGTAAAAATAACGGCTTAAAACATTAAAGGAAGGTTAAAATAACACAACAGATACAACAGATGCCACGGATGGGCAAAACTGAAGAAGATTCAAACGAATTGAAATTAGGGTTTTTGAAAACTGTTCAGCCTAACAGTTTTTCAAAGTTGATCTCTGCTGTTTGTAACTTCAAAAATAATGCTCAGGAGACACATTTGTTTGTCTCGAATCTCTGTTTGTGTCATTTACAAGTAACTTCTTTGCTTACTTTAACTTCCATAGCGATTGAGGGCGAGTAACTGGCAAAATTAAACAAAATGAACTGGACTGCCGTGACACAGCCCCTTTAATCAAATGAAGTAACATTACTTGAACTCAAACTATTGTGAAAAGTGTTGTTATTGTTCACGTGCTTGGGAAGGCACATATCCTCTTGTCTGGTGACTTGAAAACTTTGTTCTTATATAGTGGTATACACAAGCAGGTAATGGTCTGCTGTTATCCCAACCCAAGTATCCAGATAGCCATCTTATCAGCCACCTGTAAGCCACTGCTCTGAGAAATCTATTGAACAAACAGGTAAAATTAACAAAAGTTGAAGTGAGACAAATATCAGGGTTACAAGCTACTTACAGTGAGTACCCGAAACCCTTTTTGAAAAAAATAAAAAATGTACCCTTGTCAAACCATAAAGATGTATAAAGCAACTTCAACACTATAGCTGAACATACGTCAGTAAACAATCCAACAAGAGCACTCAATGTTAGATAAGGTACACTCACTGAATATGGCAAAATTCAGGAAAATTGAATTTTTCTAAAAAATCACATAACTTCCATTAAAAAAGGGGTTGCAACAGTATCGATCTGTGTCTATTTAACCACAAGCTGTGGGGTAAATACTTTCGGCTACCGTCACTTTTAGGGGACCATCGAGCTATAGGGTAAAAAATTACTTACTCGGCTTCGCTCACTCCTGTTCTTCCCCGGTATGACCTTCCGTTTCTGTCCTTGAGCAAAGGGGCGACTTGTAAAAGGACCATTCTGTTCGTTAGAGCCACATAATCTTCGTGCTCGGTAACACATGTCTAAGAAAGTTACCTCGGTAGTTTGTGTTCGAAAGGTTGACGTAATCAATGGAGCACCGTTGTCGCTTTGAGCTCACGCAGACGCAGGTTTTCTTCGCTACAATATTTACATTTACACCTAAAACATAGGTGAAAAGACAAAATTCATAAACGCCATAAAGTAAAAAGGTGATTTCCCTGCACCTAAAACAACAAAAACTTACGATTCAGGAACTGTCAGTCGGCGTTCATATCTTGCTTCCAAGATTTCTGGTGTCAAGCCATCTTGATCGGCTTCGTCTTCGCCGACATAGTCTGCGTCGTCATCTGCAAGAGGTTCATCCGAGTATGGCTAAAACTCGGTAACAACTTCAAGTTCTTCTTCTGAGGCTTCACTAGGCTCGTGGCAGCTTTGCAATGAGTCTGACATCGAAGAATCGCTCACATCGGTCGACATTCTGATGCAGCAAGGTAATGAGACGGCCGCAAAGGTACACAATATTACGTCACATGACGTCACGATCAAGCTAAACTAGCCCCCAATCTCCGGGACTAATTTTAAGCAAAATAGAGCCATTTTTAAGTCAAAAAATATGGCTTTAAAGAAATTTTAAGCCCTTTTGAAGACCAAAGTCGTTTTATACACATATCAAACTACGAAAAACAAGGGAAAAAAAATTGGTGTCATATGCACTTTAAACAGTTGGCAGGCTCTTATAAAACCTTGGGATGGATTTTGTGGACCTTTGGAGGTGCGGACGCATCCGCTGCCGCCACCTGATTTGGATTGCGTCATGCAAGACGTAAAGTTGCAGTTATTAAACCTACAGTGGTTTCGAGTTTTGGGTGTTTCATTTTTGAGATTTAAGGGTCTTCATTTTCGAGTTTTGAGTGCTTCGTTTTCGAGATTTTGGGGTCTTCGTTTTCGATCTAGGGTGCTTCGTTTTTGAGTTTTGGATGCTTTGTTTTTGAGATTTAGGAGTCTTCGTTTTCGATCTAGGGTGCTTCGTTTTCAAGACTACCTCTTTCGTCCGCTGCCAGCCCTGGAACTGCCGTGAGCGGACATCGCAGCTCACAGATCTAATCGAAATTAGACTTAATCATCGGATCCACGGAACAAAAACCCACTAAAACGAAAGCAGGAAGACTATTTTACATTACAAAACCGCCGAAAGCAAAAAACATTCGTGGATGGCCAAGATTCAAGGCGATGAATTCGCTATGACCATCGTCCCACGAAACTTGAAAAAGTTGGGCCAACCTTTTCAAGTTGACTCGTAGTTGCCGAGCATGCGCAGTTTCGTGACATAGCTCGTTTAATGTCTGGAGTTACTAGGGTTCGTACAGATTTTTGGAAGTAAGGTTATCAAATAGGTGATTCGCAGAGACCTTGAAAAATGCACAAACAAAGCTTCTTGCATGATTAGCTGCAAAAGAATGAGAGAGATGGAATAAGATTTGACAAAACGAAAAGAAAATTTACCCTTTAAAGCACTTGTTGCAGCTTTGAAAAAATACTCCACGAGACTTTTTACCAGACTTTCTCTCCACTTTCCAGACTTTTTCCATGTCTACAAATTGCTGGGCAGATTTCAAGCCTTTTTCCAGAATTCAAAAAGCTGTATGAACCTTCTCAGTATAAACACAACCTTCAACTGGGCAAACAGTCTGTTTGCCAAGTTCTATCAAAGGAACAATGTAAACTGTTGAATTAACCTAACGAACAGTACCATTTTTTTTCATCGACAGGTTACATGTATGTAATGATAAGACAGAAATTACAAGCCAACATACATCTACATCCTTGTGTTATCAACAAGAAAGACGCCATTTATCTTGCCATAATTATTATGGTAAGATTTCAACACCACAACATATCAATACTTTGGACTGCAAGAGGTTTCTTGGTACTTCAATAAGCCGTTTTACTAAACTCTGAAATCAGCTCCAATCCTTTTTGAATGATTTCTTAAATACCTCTAGAAATCTACCCATCCCATTCATTTTCTCAGTGTGCATCTCTCTTAATTCTTGCATTCTCTCTTTTCCCTCTCTTCTCTTGTTTGTGTGAATTCTTTGAACAGAGAGACAAGATCATCTTTTGCTTGTGGTTTTCTTTTTCGTTTTCTTGGTATATCTTCATTTTCTGACTCACTGCATGTAACAGCTTTGTCAGATTTGGACTCTGGAGCTATCTTAGCACCAGCATGACTGCTGCAAAGTGTAACAGGTTGAATACGTGCATCTTGTTGAAATAGAGTGCTCATTTCATCGAAGTATGCACAAGTTTTGCGGTCATTTCCAGAGGTGTTATTATGATCAACTGTGCTGATGTATGACCTTTTCAAGGTTTTGAACTTACTTTCACAATCCCCAGCATTTCTTTTATCGGGAAATCCTAATTCTTCCATCCCTTTCCCAATAGCCTCCCACACATCTTTATTTCTCTTTTTAGGATCTTTGAAGTCATTTCGCCTCTTTTCATATAGATCCAGTAATGCAAGGACTTGTTCCTTTGACCACTGTTTCCTTCAATTTGCATTTACAGAATTTACTGCTAAATGATTGGATACTCCATTATCGCTGCCTACACTCACAGACCCTTCACTACAGAAACTGGCTGGACTAGTTGAATGCGATTCTGGTACGGGCTAACTGTTCTAGTTGATACTGGTGGATGTGTTTGACTTAGCCACGAAGGTTGCACTGACCCTGATGGTGAATACTGTCCAAAGGGACTTGCAATCAACCAGGATTGATCATCAGGCTAGTATTGGCCGTGGTTGTTCCACATTTTCAGTCTTAAAAACATAAGCATGTATTGATGTAAGCTTACGTACTTGGCTAAACTTTAAAATGGTGACATGTCACGGTGTGAATGTGTTACATCAGTAATTCAGCAGGATATAAGTTTATAAACTCTTCATAGAATAAGCAGTGAAGTGTTACGGTAATTTCAAGCCTTTATTATTATAGGAATGGCAGCAAAATAGTTAAACTCAGGCGGATTTGGATTACAGTAGTATAGGAAACCCTCTAGGGTCTGTGGACCATATCAACCGCAAGTAATCTTATTCACTGAGGTATTTCACGTCCTACAATGTCTGTAATTCTGCTCTACTACCCATCGTTGCATCGTAAGATAGAGTGAAATGACTAATAGATAAATTTTGAAGTAAACGGCACTTGTTTCATGGGCTTAAAAGATAGAACTCACCTGATCTTCCACGTTTTGTGTTCTGAGACAGTTTTCTCGTGCTGCGCCAATGCGTACGCATAATTAGCACAAGATAGTCCGCTGTTCACTAGAACAGTTTAGCAAATCCTTTTTCAAATTTCCCAATCAAACTACAAAAAGGGAAATCCAAAAAATCCGGATTTGGATTGCTTAATTGAAATCCACCCTGAGGACGGATTTCTCGGAGGTGAAATCCGTTTTCGGATTTCGCATTCAGTTTGTTTATGTAACATGTACTCACAGACCTAATCATCACTTAATTCCTCTAAAGTGAGATGCACACCTGAAAAAATGGCTTGACGTGGAGAGGTTTTTTGAGTGAATCAAATTTCGCATGCTAAAAATTTACAGTGAGATCCCGATTTCCCAAGCCTCCTGGGGAAATGAAAATTGGTTTGAATTACTGAGGTTCAAACTATTGGGGTAAAATTACAGAGTTTGACTGGCGAAGGGAAATCAGTTTTGGGTTTGAATTATCAGGGGTTTCAAAAAACTGTGGAATCAGAATTCTACTGTAGAAGGGAAAGAGACCAGGTAGAAATAAACTGGCAGTGTCATGAGGTTACTATGACGATAGTTAATTGATATGCAAGAAGCATCCCTCATTCATAACCTTTCCTGCTGCCAAATTCTATTGTTACATGTCTATCATTTCATATTATTATAGTTTGCCTTGTTTAATGTATTTCAGACCAGTCAAGTATAATTGAAATGGACGAGAAACCTCTTCTTGGAGTCATTTCTCCAGTTGTAGCAGCCAAACACAAGGTACCTGTGTCACTGTTTCAATACAGTGATAAGTTTTGAAAAACTGCCATATGAAAACACAAACTTGATTAGCAACATTCATGACTTCAGGTAATCTCTGTTCTGAAGATCGTGTTTATCAGTAGAACTAGCCATCGAGAAAACCTGGATCGGGTCAACCCCTGAAACCCTATCCCTAACCTTTCGTCATTTAGTGAGTTACAAGGGTTGATCCAATCCGGTCTGATCCAGGTTTTGTTGATGCTTACTAAAACCTGCGGTACTGGTATTCTGAATGTATTCTGAATGTGAATATCAAAGATAGGTCTAGGTTTCCACCATTATATCTAGGAGTTCTCATACTTTCAATTGTTGTCTCTACTTTATAGATGGAAGAAACGGCTATTGGGAGCAGGGTATATGGGTTCCTCTCCCAACGGCAAGGCAAGACAATTGGATCACTGACAGCGTTCTTGATGGACGTGTTTTTCACCAGAGAGACACTAAGTGTCTCTAATCTTAAGGTAGGGGCTACTGTGGTTATCAGCAGCTCAACCCTAAGATAGTTCATGCTATTACAGGTATGCTTTTATTCTCTTTAAATTACGTTATTAAACTTAATCATCAGCAAATTAATATATTAGACAAATGTAAATGTACAATAAAAACAGTCACTGGGTCCTTACCACAGTATTATTATTTTTATCCCATAGCCTCAAGGACTGCTTATAGTAACACTTGTTCTTTCTGAAAAAATGTTACTATATAAAATCTGTTTTGGTGAGACACAAGGGAAAATTTAATTTGACTGCATGTACATGGAAAATGATAGTGTCCCAATTAAGTAATAATGTCGAAAACTAATTTTTGATTCTAAACTAATATCTTGGTTCTCATATGACAGCATTTGAAGAGTCCCAGTTCAAGGATTCTAAAGTGGCAATGGTAAGAAAAACAACACAGGACAAGTGCACTGGTTCCCGGAGAGAAATTTCAAAAAGGATGTAAAGAAAATTTTACTGTGAAACTTAGAAAACCATGAACAGAAATATTTCTGGAATGTTACTGTCTTGCAGGAAAAAGCCAATCAGGTATGACAAAACTAAATTGCAAATAGCAACAGTAATTATTTTGAGGTTTTTCAGCTAGCTCATGTCCTCATCTTCAATGTGATTGGTCATAACCCAGTCAACATTCCTGCAATATTTCAGGCATTCGTGGTTTTCCAAGTTTGACAGTAAGACCCTTTCTCATGTCCAATAAAGACCATCTGAGTCCACTCATCAGTAACTACATATATATGCAGGGCTCTCATTAAGACCAGGGGGCCGGTGATTTCCCCCAGATACTATGAATATGGCCCCTGCCTACTTTCATAAAAATTATGATAATAGAAGAAACAAAGAACCAAAATAAGCCCCTAGCAGTTTGATTCCCCGCTTCTTTAAATCTTAGTGACAGCCCTGTATACGCAAACAGACTTGGGTCGAATGTTATTGTAATCATTATTGAGTCAGATGGACTGACAGTTAACTCAATTTCATCAAGCAATCCAGCTGTCTCCAACAAAATTTTTTGCTCTGCCTAAAAGTTTCCAACAACGAGATTTTATTGGCTTCACTTCACCAACCCTCTGCCTCAATTTGTAAGTGATTTTTCTTTCTCACAACTAGAATTCTGGTAATTTCAATTTTCCACAAAGTTACCTGAATGGACTACGATTGTGTCCATATATAGTAACCTTTTCACAGCAGTTAGTACAATCCATAACAGCTATTGTTCTTCTAGCTTCCTGACTTATTTTATAACTTCATTACAGAGCTGCAAATAACAGTCAGACGTAATGACCGACAGATGAAATAAGACTATAATTTTTAAGATGAATTTTTATTTAGAAGAAGAAAATTGAAAGTCAATGTAAATGCCTGACAACGTCTCTGGTTTGTCTGACTAAAATGGTGACTGCTGGTTGGTCCTTTCAAAACTGAAAAATTATTTGCAGCCGTTTATTATGATTTATTAGACTTGAAATTTACTGATAATTATTTTCTCAATTAAATTCCTACTTTTTATAGTCTATATATGATGGGCCCAGAGTTTGACAACAGACCAAAGAGACATTATTTTGATGAATGTGTTAAGTTAATAATCATACAGTGAGCATATATAATCGAAACTATATTTATAAAATTCTTAAAAGAATTATATGCTAATATTAGAGCGATACTTTTTAAAAGTCCCTCAAAATAGAACATGAATTAATAATACTGATAATATGTATGTGCTTTCGAGAGAACTTACATTGATTGGTACGTAATATGGCCCGCCATGTGTAAAAAAATTCCGAAATCTCGGAATGGTTCCGAAAATTTCCTAATGATTTCGAAAGTTAGGAACAGAGTAGTTATGAAAACGGGTAGTGTGGCTCACTTATCAAATTATCAAAATTCCAATAAATCAACTAATAATAAAATTCCAGATTATGCAAAAGAGTATAAAAGGGAATATCAATTTATTAGAGGATTAAATAAAGAGTTTAGATATTTGATAGATAAATTGGATAACCTTAATAATGGATTGTTTGAAAGTAACACTTCTAATAGAATTAAGAATTTTATGAAAAGATTTTTGAAAGCTCAAGAAAGAGGTAAACTTAAGGATATTAGTGATTTAGTGTTTCCAATAGAATATCTTGATAATATAAATTTTATTAATAAAAAATTTGGGTATTACAAATTACGTTATGATTTTTTTGATGATGATGAAAAACCTTATCCTGGTTTTAAAGAAATTTATGATATTTTTAAAAAATTTTTTAATCAATTAAAATTTGAATGTTGTGATAGTGATAGTGATTGCGATAGAGAAGAATTTGATTTTCCATACACTGAAAGTGATCTTGAATATTTTTTTTATCATTTGAACAGTTTTTCCTTCTAAACTTATTACATTTATGTTATAAGTTTTTAAAAAGAATTAGGATTAGTATAATCAATTAATAAAAAATGGAATCAAGATCAAGAGAAACTACTCCTAAAAAAGAGGATTTAGATTTTATAGTTGATGATGGATATAGACATGATGAGGATCCAGATTATATTCCAAAAGAAAAATATGTTGTTACAGGACCAGAGTTTAAGAGATTAACCAAAAATGCTAAAAAACTTGGTGCTGAATCACTTGATTATTCAAATCGTAAAAATAACAAATACATGGCTACACTTCCAGGTGGAAAGAAAGTTCACTTTGGGTCACCTAAATATCCAGACTACACTATTCACAAAGATAAAGAGAGAAGAGATAAATATCTGTCTCGTGCTATGAAGATTAAAAATAAAAAGGGAGAATTAACCTATAATAATCCAGAATCATCAAACTTTTGGTCAGTTCATTTACTTTGGCCTAAAAAATAAAATTGTTTTATGATTTAAAGATTAAATAAATATTAATAAAATGCAGTTGTCAAGCTACGAAAATATTACCCAAGAGAATATTATCTTTAATGAACCCAAAGAGTACAAAGTAAAAGATAGTAAGATTAAATACAAACGTATTCCAATTGAAGTTAAATACCCAAATGGAAAGAAAGGATCACTTGTAGTTGAAACTCCAGATTTTTTCAGTTTTGGGGTTAGTGAAAAAAAAAATCAAGAAACAGGTAAATTGGTCGGTTATAGTATTCCAGTATGTCTTTGGGCTCGCGATAGTGAACCAAATAATAAAGAAAAAGCATTTTTTGATGTTATTAATATTTTAAAAACTTTATCTCAACAACATTTAGAGAATGAATATGGACCAGATTTAGCATCAACTTTATCTTTACCATTTTACTATAAACAAATAGAATACACAGATAAGAAAGGAAAAAAGAGAACAAAAAAAGATGAATCATCAGCACCAATTCTTTATGCAAAACTTATTTACTCAGAAAAAACAAATAAAATATTATCTTTGTTTAAGGGGAAGAGAGGTCGTGATTTAAATCCTTTTAAATATATTAACCAGTACTGCCGTGTTAAATTAGCACTAATAATTGAAGGAATTTTTATAAGTAAGACTGTTACATCTTTACAAATAAAAGTACACGAGTGTTATGTTAAAGAATTAGAACCTAGAAAGAGTTTACTTAAAATTGATGAAAAAAGTAGTGATAGTGATAGTGATAGTGATAGTGTTAGTGAACAGATAACTGATCAAGTAGTTGAACAATTATTTTTATCGGATGAAGAAAAAAAAGAATAAAATAACTATTTTTTTAATACAAAATTTGTATTAAAAATCAACCAAATCCTTCAAACTTACCCATGAATTAAATTTATCAGGATAACCACTCCATTTTACTAATGCTATTTTTTTCTTATTATCTCTTCTGATTATTTTTTCTATTCTAAATGTATGTTGTTTTGCTTTTTGTAATTCTTGCTCGTAGAAAGAACCCTTGATCTCTTCTCCCATCAAATCAACAATGTTATACGTAACAGGTTTTGTTGGAAGAACTTTATCAATTACAAATATCTCCTCTGTCCAGTTTGGTGTGTAACCTTTATCAAATACCTTTCTCTTATATTTTGAAATTCTAACATGATCACCAATTGCAAACTTTGGTTTACCAGGTTTCAAGTAGATTAAATCACCATATAAATTAGACCTAACTTTATTTTCATTCTTCTTTTTACTTGCTTCAACAGGAGTCATTTTAATGCTAGAGTGTCTCGAATTATTGTAATCATCAACTAGTTTATCTATCTTATCCCAGTAAACAGTGTTGTTATTCACAGTAAACATCTTCCACATTTTGTTTTTCATTGTTTTATTCCATCTCTCAACAACACTTGATTTCTCTTCATTTTCAGTGTGATACAACTTGATTCCCTCTCTTTTCAGAAAATCTTTAAAATGTTTGCTTATAAATTCGGAACCTTTATCAGTGCATAACATTTGAGGTTTACGTTTACTTGATTTAAATATTTCATCAAATGCTTTACTAACAGTTTCAGTTTTTTTGTTACTCAGAGGTTTAATCCATCCATATTTGCTAAACACATCAATAACTGCCATCAGATATTTAATTCCTTTATTCCACTTACTAAACTTTTGCATTTCAACTAAATCAGCAGCCCATATTTCATCAATCCCATTTGATATTACTAATCTTTTTTGAAAGTTTCTTGTGATTGGTTTGTGAAGTTCGTTGGCTAATTGTTGAGACCAATCACTACTCAACGCCGTTTCACTTTTAAACCAAGACCAAGTTTTTGTTTAGTATTAATTAAAAATCTAGCAGTTGACCCCCACTTTGGCATTTCACCATATGGAATTTCATCTAATGATTTTACCATCTCTTTATCACAATCACCTTTGTTTTTTCCCATATCATAACAAATGTCGTGATAAGCTGCTATTTCATCAACTTTGTTATAAGGTTTAACTTTCCATTCTATTACCTTTCCAGTTTCAGGATCATAGCTTAATTGTTTATCAAGAGGATTGTATGGACCCATATATTTGTATGAACCTGGTGTCCATCCTGCTTTTGGTTTTGGAAGTTTTCCAATTACTTTATGTATATCAATTCCTTTTCCATCTAATTCTGGTATATCAGTTTTATACTTTTTATTTGGTCTAACTTTTGTTGACAGTTGATCCATTGCTGTTCCAACAGAATCTTGAATAAATGGGGTGAGTTTATTTATTCCATAATTTACAGCTTTTTTTTGAACGTTTTTATTTCTCATTAACTCACTTGCTCCATATTTACCCATTTCAACTGCTTTTTTACCCATCCAAGGTAAACCGTAATGAACAAAACCATCAACTGCTGTACCAACTACAGTATCAAAGACGCCCGCCCCTTCAGACGGGCTGATTAGTTTTTTGACTTCTTTTTTGTTTTTCTCTTTTTACCACTTCCAGTTTGAGAAGCTGTTCCAGTTTTCACGTATCTAACTTTTTTAATTCCACAAACTGCACAATGACAGAAGAATTGAGTTCTACCTCTTTTATCTTTTTGGTAACCACTTGGCTCTGTGCAAGGAGTTACCATTTTATCTTTAATGCAATATGATTCTTTCATTTTATATAATGTTTATATAAAAATATGTCTACTAGATTTAATTTTGTAAAAAATGAACTTCAAAATATATATAAAAACCTTAACATAAGTTATGAATATGCTGATCATTCTAAATTGGAAAATGATTCTAGATTTATAAAAATATTTGAGTTATTAATGGAAATAAGTGATAAATCAAATACTTTAAGCAATATTATAAAAGGAAATTATCTGTTTATATAGTAAATGGAGGCAAAATTTTTTTCCGAGATAGAAAAAAAGATGGATGTAAAAACACTAAAAGATTTTGAAAAAGAAGTAAGAAAAAAAATATATAATGAGATCGAAACAATTAGAAAGGAAAATGAAAATCTTTCTAGAGTGCTAATGGTTGGTGAAAGTAATATGTGGAAGAAAATTAGAAATGAGGAATATTCATGGTTGCAGTTAAATAGTAATAAAAAGAAGAAACTTTATAGACTTATTGATATTTACTCAAATTTTGTTGAAATAGTTGATAGTGTTAAAGATCTAAATATAAAAGTTGATAGAGTTAAGAAGCTAAAGGAAACACCAGTGGATAGTGAATAAATAAACATTTTGGAGATTAAAAAAATATATATATATAATATTTATTAAATATTATATTATTTATAAAAATTAGGTTTTTATATTTATCCTCCAAAGTATGCTTTTATAAAATCACTATTGTCATCATCAAAATGAGGGTTATGTATTACATCTAAAATACTATTACCCCTCTGTCTCTCAAACAGATAATATAAACACCAGTAACCGCAAAGAACAGTATTACGATTTTGTATTTCATCCATTGAGTAAACTATTCGTTTTCTAGAAGTATGAAAATACTTTAATGCTTCATTTGGCATTATTAGTCCAAATGGATCAAAGTACTCAACAATATTATCTATATTTCTATAACAAACCCAATGAGTGCCAGGACCAATCATATCATCTAGATTAATTATTCCACATTCTTTTCTAATCTTTTTTGGTAGTCCATCACGACTATATATTCCTCTAAAATGTTTAATACCAAGTTTCTTTACCCAATCCATAAGGTCAAAGTTGGATAGAGGTTTAATTACAAAATTGCCCCTATTAATGGAATTGAGTTGAATGGGCTGTTTTTTCCTAGTAGTAGTCCTTTTCCTTTGGATTTGGACTTTTTTTTTTTAACCCCCATTCCAATTGGATTGTTCCATGTACCGATAAAGGGTGGTGGGTAATAAGGATAACCTTCTCCATGTGTGGATGGAGGAGGATGTGGAACGTAAACATTTGCTGTATTAGATGATCCTCGTCTATCAACCTGCAGTCCAGATCCAAACATTTTACATACTAAACTAATTGCCATTGGAATTCCAATAGATGCAAGAGTTCCAAGAAATCCTCCTTCTATCTGTTTACGAGTTGGTTTTATAACTAATCGCCCTCCTGTTTGATAAGCTTTGTTAATTTGATTTATTTGTGATTTGGTAAATTCTCTTACAAGAGGTGGTAACATTGGGAAAAACTGTGGGGGAATTGTGATTCCTTTTCCAAATATTTTATTTAATCCAATTTCTCCAAGTGCAGTAGCAGCACCAGTAGCCAATGCAGGAACAACTTTTGAAACTCCTTTAATTGCGTAAGGTAGTACTTTTGCTCCAAGAGATGCGAGTGAGGAAAATAAGTTTCCACCATGTTTTACAGAACGTCTAATCTGTGTTTTACTTATCTTTATATCTGATCCTGTGCCATTTGCAATAGATTTTTTTATTTTAGAAATTTGTCTGCTGGTTAACATTAACTCATCAGAACCTTGAAGATGTTCATGTTTTAACCGAAGAGTTAGTGGTGATTTATTTAATATTGCAGAAGCCAATTTTGACTTTTGTCCATCTGTAAGTTTTACTCCGTATTCAATATAAGTTGTCATTTTTATTATAATATTTATATTAAATTTTGTTTTGGTTTTATTTCAGTTGGTGGTTAAGTTTTTAATTAGTTTGGAAATGTTACTGGTGTGATATAAAATTGCTTTTTTAATTAAAACCTTCTAGAAGGTTATCGTGTGATTTTTTTCAACCAATCAAATGATTACACCTCATTCTATAACGCTTGTATAAATTTCTGTGTAAATCATAACAGACGCCATAAATTTCTGTGTAATAATAACAGACGCCATAACAGACGCCATAAATTTCTGTGTAAATCATAGAAGAAGCCATAAAATTTTGTGTAAGTAATCATGCCTTATACTTTGAAACAGTTAGAATTGAGAAGGGATTCTTGTATTAAGAAAATACAAGAATTAAAAGCATCAGCTGAAGATAAAGGAGCTGAAGAAATTGGGAATTTGAATTTTAACGCTATTGGATTTTTCCATGGTTTATTTGAAATGCGTTTAGAAGACATCGATTTATTTTTATCATTTTTTCCTGGATTTCCTGAAATACTGGAGTGTACACGTAAAGCTGCAAATGAAGAAAAAAGAAGAAGAAGTTTTGAAGTACAAATTGAAAACATGAAGAAGGAAAAACGAAAGAAATTGAAATGTGTTTTTGAGGAAGAGGAAAAGAAAGAACGAAAGAAAAGAAAACACATGAAGATGCTGACTGGTGCTACTGGTTCTGGGGAAGGTACATCACAAACAATGAACTGAACACTATTTACTCAAGCACGAAGCAATAGTTTTCCTCCTTGTTGTTCGATTTCTGCTATTCTTTCATGTAAGACCAATGCGTAAATATTATAATCAGCGTTTGGATTAGCAGATAATTCGTAATGAAATGCTAATTTTGTAACACCGTCTTTGATATCCATTTTTTGTTTTGTTAGGTCAAAATAAACAAAAGGAAATAAAGATTTAAAATTAGCTCTATTAAGTAATGTTCCACCTTGATAATCATTATTTGCATAGACGTATGACATTACATTTCTAAAAACCCTTGACAAATCTGTAGAAGGTTTAAAGTGAATATCTGGGTACTCATTTCCATTTCCAACCTCGAGATAACGAGATATATTAGCATTATTTGGTAAATTAAAAGTATCGTATAAAAATGGATTTGCTGTTTGTGCATCGATTCTTGCTGTATCAATTCCAAAAACAAATACATGCCTTGGCTTTGAAATAGCATTTGTAATTCTAAAATGTCCTGTCTGTTGCTGTGTATTATTTGATCTTTCAACTACTTCATTCAAATATGTCCATTTGTAAGGTTTAAGATAATTTTCCATGTACAACTTTTGTCCTTCTGAATTAAACGTAAGTTTTGGAATAAAAAGTTGTAGTCTTGTTATAATAACTCTACAATCATCAGCACCTTGAAAAATTAAATTTGCATCTTTTTCGATTTCAATATTTAGTTCAATTTTTGTATTTGGAAGTAATTTGTCTTACAATGCTTCAAAGAAAGAATATCTATTAAGAGGAATTTCACAGTTTACTGTGGCTGATACACCTAATAGTAATTTTCTTGCATGAAAGCCTTTATTATAAGTTGCTTGAGCAGTTCTTTCCTCTGCAGCTCTTGATCCATCAAGAAAATAAAATTCGTTTGTAGCAACACTCTGGGCATATGAAGGATTATACTCAAGAAGATTTTTAATATTTACAACATGATTTGCGTAGTTACAACTATAAACTTCTCGACCATTTGCTAGGATACTTAATTTTTCTATAAATGAGTTACTACCATTTACAATACCATTATGGTCAGCAACTGCAATGTTTCCTCCATCTGCCAACTTATTTACTTTAAAATCCATTGATAATCGTGCGTTATACCAATCAAAAGGAGTAGTTTCTCCTGTATTATCAGCTATAAATCTAAGGCCTGTTTTATTTTGGTGAGCGTTATTTGCTGGGGCTGTATCTAGAGCCTGTTCCAGGTCATAAACAACATCCTCATATCTATCTAAATATTTTGGATTTCTAAAAGACTTCATTTTATTTTAATAATTATATAATTTTCTCTTTCGTGTTGAACCTCCACTAAGAAGGTTATTTAATGTTTGATCTATCTCTTGTTGAGTGTTTGGAATTGTTTTAACATTTTTATTAAAAGTAACTTTTTTGTTGGAGGGTGCAGCCTTTTCTTTTGATAACATTTGTACTATTTTATCACCAGCCTTTTTACCCACATGTTCACCAGTTTTTGTTGCAGCTGCTGTCATCGCTTTTTTAGCACCTCTTTTAGCAGCTTTTTTCATTGTCTTTCCAAATATTTTTTTACCAACAGATTTAAACACATCCATCATTCCTTCTCCATAAATATGTTGTCTTGTATATCTACCCAATTCAGGGTCAAGTTTCATTTTAAACTCTGATTGTCTCATCATTTTATTTTAATAGTTATATAACTACGAACTATTACATCGAGTGGAGTATCAAAGTCATAAACCAATCTATACCATTAAAATTGACTGGTCTTCCAAGTGAGTCTGTCACATATATTCTCATTTCATCAATGTGAAATGAAGAAACGTCACAATACAATGGCCTTTTAGGTTCAAATGTAAATGGAAAACTTCTTGTGAGATTGTCTGTTGGTATTACAGCAATGGTATTTGTATTTATTCCATTTACAATGCTATTAGTTATTGCGGTTGTGTTTATATTTAGTACATCAATTGAATTTGTTATATTTGGTAATTTTGTTCCATACTCTGTTTTTGTAATAAGTTTCTTTTCAAATCCAATAAGGTCTCCAAATTCTGTTCCTATCAGATCAAGTTGATAATCACCATCAAGTGATACTAACACTCGATAAGTAGATAGTATAAAAGTTAGATTGATTGAATAAGTCTTTTTTCCACTTGAGTCTGTTGAGTGATGAGTCTTTTGAGACATGTATTGATGAATGTAATCATTAATATCTGAGTAAGAATACATCCCATCTGTAAAAGTAATTGTTTGCCAGTTGGTTCCATCATGAGTGTATTTGATTTTATTGTTTCCATAATCACTTCTAATATTATACCAAGAGTAAGTCATGGACAACCGATCAAGAGCAAGTTGATGTTTTTTTTCAGGATCGAGTTTTAAAGATGGATTAAACTTAATAGTAAAATCACCAGGTTTACTTGTTCCTCTTTTTTCTCTGTTTATTGAAGAAATGTGAATAGCTCGTTCTTCCATTTTATCTAATTGTTATATAAGTTTTTATTAAATCATTTAGTTGTTTTTTTGAGATTACTTTCATTTGGTTGAGAAGATGTGCAATTTTAGAAAACTCTTGCATTACCCCATTATTACCAGCTAGAATTGATCCACCGAGTAATTCAAGTCTTTTTAGAAGTTGATATGGGTTGTTAAAGTAAATCATTCCTTCTCCCATTTGATACTCAAGCGAACCTAAATAAAGTTTAAGAATGTTTTTGTATTTATGTAGTAAATCTTTTTGCATTTTAATCCTTTCTATTTCTTCTTCGTCTTCTTCTGTTTTATGTTTCTTTCTCTTCAATCCAGCTATTTGTCCTGTAAAAACTTTTACATCATTTTTTACTTCATCATGTATTTCTCTGAGTCTTTCAGGGTTAGTATCAAAAAAATCATTTGGCCTTGGATAATCCATAATTCTTAATATTTCTAAATCAACATCGTTAAGATTTTTTTCAATGTTATAACGTGTGGGTGATTTTTCTTTAGATGTTGTTGGTTCTTCATAATCACCTTCCAAAGCTGGTAATTCTCTCATTTCAAGCAATCTTAAATTATCCTGATTAATTTTTTCCAATCCTGATGTTAATGCAAGTTGATTTTTTTTAAGTTGTGCTATAGTTGCGTTTTGCTGCTCATCAATACTTTTTTTAATGCTATCTTGAGATTCAATAAGAGGTTGAAATGTTTCTTTAAAACCTTCCCTCATATTTTGTTTTTGCCATTTTGTTATTTTTATTATATCTCTCACCTGTTGAGTTAAAGCGTCAGCTTCAATTTTATTTCTTGCAAGTTTTTTGTATTCTTCAATATCCATTTTATATAATAAATAGATAAATGGAAATACCAAACTATGATAGTGTTGATGATCCAGATAAAAAATATAAACAGCTATTTCCTTTTATGCCAGCGGATACTTTTCGAATGTTAATTTGTGGAAACAGTGGAAGTGGTAAAACTAATTTGCTTTATCATATGTTAATTAAACCACTATTATACTATGATGAGATTTATCTTTATGCGCGTAATCTAGAACAGGATAAGTATCAAAAGTTAATTCAAAAAATGAGGGAGTTGAGTAGTGAAATGGGGTATGAAATACTTCATGTAAGTAATGATGAAATAATTCCAGTGTCAGATTTGGATTACGAAGACAATCAAAAACTTGTGATATTTGATGATTACGTTTGTGATAAAAACCAGAGACAACTTATTGATTATTTCATCCAAGGAAGACATAAGAATTGCTCTGTAATATATCTCAGTCAATCATTTTACAAAACTCCAAAGGATATTCGATTAAATTGTTCTCACTACTGTATGTATGAATTTCCATCATCAAGGGAAGCAAATCGCATATCATCAGAATTAGGAGTTGATAAAGAGGTTTATAAATCAGCAACAAAAAAACCCTTTTCATTTTTATATATTGATAAACCTAAAAAACGTATTGCAAAAAACTTTACTAGTAATCTATAAAAAAATATAATTATTATATAAAATGGGAATATTTAACGAACAAACTTTTGATCATCCTTTTGCTAAAGGAATTCAGGGTGCTCCAGGAGTTGGATTTAGTCTAACAGCAGATGGAAATTATGATATTAATAAAAAAAGACTTACAAATGTTGGTGCACCTAGTAATAATACTGATGCTGCTACAAAAAAATATGTTGATGATAATTCTAGTGGATCACAAACAACAACACGATTAACAGTTGATTCAAACATTGATATGAAGGATAGATATCGTATTTTAAACCTTATCACACCACAGGATTCTAAAGATCCAGCAACAAAATATTACGTAGACAACACATTTCTTGACAGAGATGGATCTTACCCAATGAAAGGAAATCTAAATATGGACAACAATCGAATATTAAATCTGCCAGCTCCAATGGGTCCTAAACAACCAACACCATTAGCTTTCACAGATTTGAAGTATCTTCACGTTAATGGAACAAATAAAATGACTAATAATCTAAACATGGATAATAAAAAAATAATTAACCTTAGACCACCAACAGACTCCACAGACGGTGCAACGAAAAAGTATGTGGACGACTCAATACCTGATACTAGTTCTTTTATAAAAAAGGATGGAAGTGTTGCAATGACTAGTAACCTAAATCTTGGAAACAAAAAAATAGTTGGTCTCGCAACTCCAGTGTCAAACACAGACGCCGCAACAAAGAAATATGTGGATGATAACACAGGTGCCCCAGATTTGAGTGATTACTTGGAAAAAGATGGTACCGTCACTATGACAGGAAACCTTAATCTTGGTAATAATAAAATAGTTAACCTCAGTGACCCCACCACAGATCAACAAGCTGCTAATCGCGGATGGGTTCGTAAACAAATAGAAATGTTTGATCATCATTCTGGAGATGGAACAAGTGGTGTGTTTACTATAACAGATCCAGCTGCGCCAACGACTTTGTATCTACAATATATCTCAGGTTCATCATTTGATGATTTTGTTTTTACAACATCAACACCTGGTCAACCTCTTGTAGGGTGGAAACCAACTGCTAACACATACATTAACAAAATAGAATTTCAATTTGGTTCGCGAAATATAAACGTTGACTTTTTGTGGTTTATTCCTAGAGATGACTCTCATTCCAATTCTAATTTTTGGGTAAGTGGAAATCGCACTGGCACTTGGTCATTAAATATTCACAAGTCTTGGAATTATAATATGTCAGGAGTAAAACTAAGAACCCATAACAATTCAAATCACACAGCTATCACTTGTCGGCTATTCACTGATCTACCAAAAGCAATAACCAAACCACTTAAGAGAATAGAAATCAACACACCTAAAATTGTAATAAGTGGGGATATAAAAGCCGATGTCAACCTTGGTGGTAATAAAATAAAGAATCTGGGTGTACCAACCCAAGACAATGAAGCAGTAAACAAAGGTTATGTTGACAATCTAGTTCATCATACCGCAGTTCAACCAAGTCATTATAAAGATGAGTTTAGTTATCTCATGACAAGTGGGGCTCAATGGACTGATGAAATAGATGGAGGAGTTAGTTTTGTTATAAATAAGATAGGAGACTTATCTCCTTCTAAAGGTAATTTTCATGACTATAACCACAAAGTAATTTTCATGACTATAAACAAAAATTCTGAAGGTAAATATAAATATAAGACGGGAATTAATTTTTACAGACTAACTGCAAATACCGAATACACACTATGTTTGGAAATACTCAACACTGATTATAATCTTTGGAATAATACACAAATAAGTGTTGACAAAGGAACTTCAAAAGGATTATCAATTGGAAATGTAATTGTAAAAAAACTATCCCATAGATATACCGATTCAAATAAGCTAACAAAAGTTATGTACTACCACAGAATAATAATTAATTTCTGGAAGTTGCCATCTGGGAATAAGTTCTTTATTCACATTTTGGTTGATATTCTTCGGGGTGGATATAACATATCTACGTATCCGAGACTGTTTTCAGGAGTTTACATCATTGCTTATGGAATTGTGGGTACATTTAGCAATATCGACCCAGATAAAGTTTACGACTATCACACCGCATTTGACATTCACCCAACAGAAGTGTTGTACAATGTTGATATAAATGTAAATAATAAAAAAATATTAAACATTAATCTAGATAGAAATATTAACAATAGTGCTGCAACAGTTGCAATGGTAAAAGAAATTCATAATTTTACTCCACATAATTTGTACAGAAATTATTTTGAAGAAGTTTATGATTTTACTAATGCTACTAATTACAAATTAAGTCAAACCTCATCTGGTATTGTTTTTAATTATTTATCTTCTAGTAGTGGTAATACTTTTAGAGATATAGGTATTCCTAATAAAACAATAGATAATATAAGAAAAGAAGGTCTAAATATTAATGGTTATAATATAAGCTTTTCTCCTCCTGATGGTATTAAAAAATTTACTTTATGTATGGTTTTTAATTATTGGAGAAATAGATCATTTTCTATACATAAAAAATCAAATTTTAATAATAATTTATTATCTTTATTTTATTCAAATTCAAGTAATCAAATAGTTTTATCTGTTAATAACCAAATAAGAAGTTTTACTTTATTAAGTAGTTTTAATGGAAAAAAAATTGTTATATGGTTGGCAGAAGATGTTAGCAAAAATATTACAAAAGCTAAAATAAGTAACTACAACTCAATTTTAAGTTTACAAACCACTCGTTACTCCATCGAACAAGATTTTACGTTTACAACTCAAGATGGTGTGTTAAGTAAAATAATGTTCTCTACAAACTTTTATGACACCGACTCTGAACAATATCACAAAGTATTGCTTCAAGAAAAGTTAGATGGATCTTATGTAATATAATTATTAATATAAAATGAAAGATATTTTTGAGTTTAATCACATAGACCCATCTCTATCAAAATCAGATGTTAAAACAATCAAGGATTTTTACAGTTACTACCATAAAAAATATTGGTGTTTTAAGAGATCTTATAAATATCCTGTTGTTCTAGGAGTAATAAATGGAGCTGGAGTAATTGTTGCTGGAGTAGGAAAGAAAAATAATTACAAGAGAAAAATAGAAATGACTCGGATTGCATACACCACTTATGAAAAAGTTCTTATTGAATTAAGAGCTGCACTTAGAGGAGATGAGTGGAATAAACAAAAATTTGTAGATAGAATGAAGTTGATAGATGATATGATAATTGATCAAACTCCTGAAGAAGATAAATTTGAAATTAAATATAAAAAAAAATTTAAAGATTGAATATTTTAAAAGAATTTTATCTAGATATAAAAAAAAAGTTAGTAAAATCCTGGTTTCAATATTAAAATAATATTGAAACTAAGCTAAAAACTTAAATGTATATTTGCAACCATCTTTTTTAGATTTTGTTGTTTTAGACTTTTTTCTACAAATACTTGAAATACTAGAAATATAAATGTTTAATTCATTTGAAGCTTTTGTAATAGAATCAAATCTTCTTTCCTCTCCTGTTTCAATATTTGTAGAAACAATTGGTTTATTATTACTTTTTTTAATATTTTGTTTTTTAGTAAGTATTTGTAAATTTTTTATTCGGTTATCGTTTTTAAGGTTGTTAATGTGATCAACCTCAAAAAATTGTGGAATTTCCCCTTTAAAAACTTCATAAACAAAACGATGTTGGTGGTAAATTTTTGGCTTAGAAAGTTTTTTGTCACAAAGATTAAAATATAAATAACCGTTACAATTTATCATTTTAATTATTCTTTTACTTTTTATATTAATAATGTTACCATCTTTGGAAGCTGCGTATTTAGTAAAAACATTATGTTTGTAATATTTTTCTCCATCAATTATTAACATGTTTTCTAAAATATTTTCCATCTTTATTTATTTCTTTTATTCTTTAAACCATTAATTCAATTTTTTTTATTTTTTAACACTTCTTTAAAAATGACCCATTGAAAAAAAGCCATCTTTTTTGACTCCCCTTTAAGGATATAACTTTTCCTTTATTAAAATTTTTTCAAGAGCTTCATAATCATCATTAAAAAATATATCATCACTTTTCTTTTTTTGTTCTTCATTACTTGAAAAGTTATATCCTTCAGCAAAATAAGCTTTCCAATCTATTTCTCTTTTATTTAAATAAAACTGTTCTGGAGCTCCAGTCTTTTCAAGAGCTCGAACCAATTCTCTAACCTTTTTTCCTATTACAGGATCTTCAACCTCAACATAAATTTTAATCGGTATATATTCATATGTATCAAGTTGAAGATATTTATATAGTTTATTAAAACAATAATTATTAAGTAATTCTTTATCTGTATAATCTTTTTTTAAAATAGCATTAATTTTTTGTAATTCATCATCTTCATCTTCATCTTCATCTTCATCTTCATCATCTTTTATACATTCTCCAATATTTGTAAATAATTTTCTTTGTTCTAAAGTTAAATTATCCATATCATTAAAACCAAGAACAGGACCTAATGTTCTTTGCATATCAACTAAGTAGTTTAAAACTGATGGATGAAGTTTGTATAACACTTCACAAATATTTTCTAAATTTAACAACGATCTAGCATTAATTTCAATATGCATTTTTTTTATTACTTATTTAATTATTTTTAAATATCAATTTTTATATATTTAGTAATAAAATGATAAACACTATTGTTCATTACGTTAACTTTTACTTCCCTACACTCAAAAATTTAAGCTACTCAGAAAATATTATAAAGACAGCACTAATATATAGATTCTTATACGAATCTACTTGTAAAAAACATATTACACTTTAAACAATAATATATAAAATAGAAAATATATCTATTAAATCTAATAATCGCGTACTTAATAATCATTTAATATTTTATAAAGCTTTTAAATCTTTTTACAAACATTATAAACTTGGACGAGGATGTGTATACGTATTTGATTCCCCAATAAATAGTGAAGTACTTGGTTATCTAACTGGTATATTATACTGGATTTTTCATAAAGGATTAGAATAATATAATTATTATATAAAATGAAATGTGTTATTATTAGAGAAAATTAATGAAAGAAGTTTACAAATTTTTACATAATGTATTTGACAATTATATTTATTTATAAGATTAAATTTTTTTATATTTTAAAAAATATAAAAAAAATTATTTATTATCTAAACCTAGAACCTTACAATTATCACAAGCTTTTTTTTTTTTAACTGCTTCATATTTTGTTTATTTTTTTTAAATCTTTATAACTATCCCACCACCTATCATAATTTTTTAAAGTTTGAGTGCTAATTTTAACTTCAATAAATTTATACTTTTCACATTTCATTTCCTCCAAAGTTTTTTTTATTACATAATTAATATTTATCATTCTCTTTCTAAAATATTGCTTGTTTAGTAATTCCATAATGTAATTATCTATTTTTAATAGTCTGTTGTAAAGTTCAAATTTTTGTTCATCATTTAAATTTATTAATTTAGAAATCTGATTAACCTTTTTATCATAGTGATACTTCCTATGATAAATACTCTTTTTTTGATAGTATAATCTATCAAAATCTTTTGAATCAAATTGACCGAGAACATGACCGTTAATTGTTCCACATTCATCACAAATTTTTAATCCTGAATCTATTGTAAAAGATTCTGTATTTAAACAACCTTTACATTTAGATTTAGGATTAAATTTCTTTATATGTTTTTTTTTATAGTTAGATAATATATTTAAATCTTTTTTTATTTCTTCCTCTGTGTAAGACATTTATTATTTAAGTGTATTTACTTTTTAAATAATTTTTTTTATCTTAATGCTAAAGTATGAATATTATCTTTGAAAACTTTTCTTTTATCGTCTTGATTACTTAGAGCTACTTTGTTAACCTCTTTAGAGAATATATCATGTTTTTCACTTTTTATTATTTTCATTTTTCTCATTTCTTTTTCACCTGTAAATAAACATTTAACATAATCATCAAAATCTAATTTCTTTTTTATTACATTTTTCTTTATTCCCTTACACTTCTTTAATTCTTTTTTATCCTCAACTTTATAACTATAAAGTTTTGGTCGCAAACCAACAAAATGTGTTATCTGTTTTCCCGATACTTCATCCTTAAACATTCCAATAACTTTTTTGTTAACTCCAGTTAGTATTCCAGATTTATGATTAGTAGGATAATCGCTAGTATCAAACTTGGATAAAATATCTGGTGATATATCTTTATAAAAATCATCTGTTTTAATTTCATACATTAAAGAATCTGTATCTGTAAACAACAATTCTGCTTTTTTATGATATTTCTCTTTAATATATTTAAAATGAAAATCAAACATTAATGTTTTTGATAAATCTAAAATTGCTTGACCAACATATACTGGTTTGTTAAAATAAACTTGAGTATTCTTCATATGTATTGCTATAAGATTTTTATCAAATATTGTACATCTATCAAAATTTGGACGACTTGATAATTTGATAGCTTTATTACGGTTATCAATAAGATGTATATTTTGTCTTTTCCTTATATTTTCTATTGTTTTACCAAAAACTGAATTATTCATTAGTTTAAAAAAATCTTTTTCAAAATTGTTAACTGCTGTCTTTCGAAGTTCTGTATTCTTTCGGATATAAGGTTCCATCCAAGGAGATTGATAAAATGATATTCCTCTATGAACAGCAGTAATTTTCATACCCATTTCAAGATATTGTCTAAGATTTCGATAATGAACAACATAATTTTTTCTGGGTTTAAAATGACATATTAGTTTTTCTACACCATTAACAATAATCTTCTCCGGCGCTAAAGGATAGTCATTATGTGTTTCCCATAGATGTTTAGGGTATTCCAAATCAACTTCAAATATATATCCTTTTTTACCAAAGTTTGACATACTATGATTTGATTTATCTAAAATTTTACCTACCTTTTTTAATGTTATATCTTTCATCCATTTAAATCCATGAGTTGGAAGATTTTGAGTCATCGCCCACCCATAAAGATTGTTTGCATCCAAATATTGAATAAATGTTGATTTTTTTTCAGGATTATATTTTTTCATATATTTATTATTTGCTTCTGCATATCGTTTTGATATATGTGTTATTCCACCACGAATGCCACGCTCAAACATCATTAACATATCATAGTCATGTAATAACTGTAAATTCTGACCTGTAGTTTTGAGACATGCATCCCAAGCCAAACCTGGAGATGTATAGTAATGAGCTGGATCTAGCTTGTAATGTTTAAGACAAGTTGCTCTAACATTTTCAAATACATCTGCTAATAGTAAAACATCAGACTTTAGATATAAATCATGATAATCTTTAATTGTTTTACATCCAAATGTATTCCACACTTTTATTGCGTGTTGGTAATCTTCATCTGATATATCTTCGTCATTAAGTTTTGAATAAAATTCTTCTTTTGGTGGTAATTGTGTTTCAGATAATTTATCAAGTGATGAAACATAGTCATATGGAAAAACTCCTTTACGGGTTAATAATGAAGTATTAGACTTAAATACATGTTTTGTATTATTAAAATCATCTGGTGATAAATTTGATACAAGATTGGCAAGTGATGTTTGAAGAAATTTAAATGAATCTAAAAATTTTATTTCAAAAGTTATTGGAAAAACATTACCACCAACATATTTAAATTCTCCAACTTTAATATGTTTAGAAAAGGAAATATATTTTTCTTCTGTAGATGGAATGCAATCTAACTTTCCTTCTAATCTAGCAAGTTGTTTAATAAATAAATGAGCGTCATAACCTTGAAGATTGTGAAATATAACTGGTAATACTCTTGGTTTTTTACACATAAGATTACATTTGTTATGAGCAGCACCACGATACTTTCCTGTGAAATGACAATGATCTCTTACTTTATCATTTTTTAATTCACAACTACAAATATGGCAAGTTTTAGCGTTTTCAAATAATGTTTGTTCTTTACTATTTAGTTTAAGAGGTTTTGGTCTACAATAAAAATCATTATAAATTCCTTTTGTTACTTCTGTAATTTTTTCCACAAATATTTTAGCAATGTCTTCATCCTCAGAATTTTTAGTATAAATAATTGGTTTTATATGAATTCCAGGTACTATACTTTTAGCATAAAAACAAAATCCTGATGGTTCATGTTTTTGATAGTTGTAATTATATGAATCTTTTGGATTAGGACAACAACTATTCATTGGTTTTGTAAAGCATTCAAAATCTGCATATACTACAAAAGGAACAGGAAGTTGTTTGTAATAATTTTTAAAATGTAAAAATTTATTTGTATCTGGCATTTTTATAAGTGCTGTTTGATTATTAGAACAATATTCAATATGTTTATTTAGTAATTCTTTTTTAGTGTAATGACAAAAACATCTCTTACAAATAAATATGTTACCATCCTTACTTTTAGTTTTTTGCGATTTAATTAAACGATTAAAATTTTTAATTAACGTATAATGTGTATTTCCATCTTCTTCATACAAAAATAAATCAATAGTATTTTTACAATCTCTATCTGCCATTCTCAAAGGATAAATACTCATTTTATCATCTTCAGAAAAAACATTTATTCCTGGTAATTCTGGATTAAGTTTCTCAAATTTGGTTATATCTTTTATATTCATTGGAAAAGTAATACCCTTTGTTTTAAGTGAAAACTCATACTTCTTTAAATCTGCAAATCTGTTATCATTATCTTTTCTTGGATAAAGATATCGAAGTATACACCAAAGAAAACATTTCTCGTCTTTGTTTTGAATATTAACAATTGCTTTTTTATTTGTTATCCTATATGGAAGAGGAATGTAAGATGAACCCTTTATTGGATTAAATTCAGTTGTATGAATTTCTAATCTTAAAACTTCTTTAAAATACCAACCACTTGCATTATTGTTATATTCCCTTATATCTTCTATAATTTTACTAAAACATTTTCTAATTAATTTTTCAGTATTTGTAGATTCTAAATTTTTATAAGTTTTACTAAAAAAATATGCATTATCCTGTTCTAATTTTTCTACTCCTTTTTCTGTTCTAACAGAAATTCTTTCCATTAAACAAACTAAACACATTCTAATTTTAACATTTCTATTATTAACTAAAAAATTTTCTAGAGTAGCTTGAACTCTAAATAAATATTCTTCAGGTGTAATACCAGGTATTCCTTCAAAAATATGATTACTAGCAAAATTATCAAGAGCTGACTTTTCTAATGTAATTCCTTGTTCATGTTCATATAAAACACGCTCAAGAGCTTTACGTAAATATTCAGGACTATATATGGGAATTTTTTTATTTTTTATATATTCCTCAAAATACTCTTCAAATTTTTTTATCTTTTTGGTTTTACTCTTTTTATATATTTTTTTTATATCAATTCCTTTTTTTACTTGATTTCTAGCTTCTTGTATTTTTCTATATTTTCTAATTAATCTTCTTCTTGATTTAAATTCATTATAATCTTTCTTAAGTTCTTTTTTTTCTTGTTCTATTATATTTCTTATTTCATCCAAGGATAAATTTTGAAATTCTTTATCTGTTATAAAAGGTTGAGAACCTTGAAAACCATTTACTGACTGGTTAGACATGATGTCTTCTAATAAATGTTTATATTAGAAGACAAAAAAATTTAAATTAACACCATTACACCTAACATATCCTACTATAATAGTATTAAAGATCATCCTAACTATCATTCTAACTATCATCATAATACTCAATCTCAATATTTAATTTACTAAGAAATAAATCTAAATCATGTTTATATTTTTCGTAACAACTTAATAAGCTTTCATTATCATCATTAATACCTTTACACCTAACATATTCTAATATACAAGTAGAGCTGAAGGGGCTTATATCTTTTATAACTTCATAAATATTGTTAATATCAAAATGATCAAATTTAAGATGACTAATATCCTTAAATTTTCCTGTTTCTTGTGCTCTCAAAAATCTTTTTATCATTTTCATAATTCTATCAAGTTTGTAATCTTTAAAAATTTCTTCTTCATTTTCTATATTTTCAATAAAATATGATAGATATCTAAACTCTTTATTTAATCCTCTTATAAATTGATATTCCCTTTTATACTCTTTTGCATAATCTGGAATTTTATTATTAGTTGATTTATTGGAATTTTGATAATTTGATAAGTGAGCCACACTACCCGTTTTCATAACTACTGAACAGTTTGGATAATTTTGCGTTATAATTCCAAACAATTTCGTAATACCTTCGATGTTTGGAGTATTTTCGAAAATCACTTGTAATGCTGCCAAAACACTTGACACTGAACATAGAAAGGAGACTGGAAACGAATATTTATAAGGAAACCATGGAGACACCATGGTTACGGAATAAATATGCAACAGCGTGGGTCTGTTTGCCATAATCCCGATCCACGCTTCATGCTTTTCGTCTTTAAACGCTGTATCAAGAAAATTAGTAGAAATAAGCTTTGTTCTCCTTTACACAGTTGTAATATTTTATGGTTATTGTCCTGTTATGAAGAAGTATCTTCGTCAACTGTTTTTATTTCTCGTCTTGGCCTTTACTGTCTCAAGGTAAGTCAACTTTCATCCAAGCGAGTGAATCATACATCGTTCAAATCAAGCTTATACTGGAATATCTCAATTTTTCCTGCAACGTTTTCATCTACTGATGCTTTTTTCTTTTTTCCCAGATCTACCGCAGACGATGACTTGGCCCAGTTTGTCCGTACTGTCATGTCTCTGTTGAGAGAGCTGGAAACGGAGATGGATAACATTCGCTCCAACCAACGGAGAGCAGAACTTTATGCAAATCGGGTGTTGTGTGCTTTGCGGCATATTACCGACATTGTCCAACACATGTACCGGAGTGGTGGATTTCCTCATACAGAGGTACAAGAACTTGAAACGTTGCGAGAAAATTTAAGAGCAATTTATGGTCTTACTGTTCAGCTGCCTGTAATGCACAGCTACTTGTACAGACCGCCCGGGGAGACCAAGGTACGTCATCCCTTCAAAACAGCTATAATGTTTGCGGAGTGAGTTCAACAGCTGGACGCAGATTGCTGCCGACTTAGAGGTCTCTAGGCAAACTATTTATAACACGAGAAGGGAGCTTGGATTTTCTCTTGTCTTTGAGGGATACAGTAATATTCCTGGCACTGACTTGGACAATCTTGTCAGAGATGAACTAAATGCTTTCACAAATGTTATGGCAGGCCTCAGACAGAGGGGCATCTATGTTCAAAGGTGGAGGGTGCGAGAGGCCATAGTAAGAGTAGACCCCATCAACCGTGCAAATAGGTGAGGACACAGAATAGTTAGGAGACCTTACAGTGTCCCTCATCCAAACTTCCTGTGGCACATCGACAGTAATTTAAAATTACGTCATTGGCGGATGTGCATCCATGGCTGCATTGACGGATTTTCGAGATGTATAATTTACCTCGATGTTCACAACAACAATAGAGCAAGTACTGTCCTCACCTCGTTTCAGCAGTCAACACATGAATGGGGTGTCCCATTTCAAGTTCGAGCCGACAGCGGAGGAGAAAATATGGCTGTCAGAGATTTCATGGTCTGGTTTCGAGGCGAAAATCGGGGCAGTTTTTTGACAGGACCTAGCACATGGAACACCAAAATAGAACGCCTTTGGAGAGATGTTGTGGAAAGTGTTGTGACATCTTTGTTTTTGTTTATGGAGGCTAGACACATTTTGGACCCTACGTGTGAACGTGATAAGTTGGCCTTGGACTATGTCTTCCTTCCGAGAGTGCAGAGACTGTTAGACAGATTTACTCAACGCTTCAACTTTCATTCAGTCTCAACTGAACATAATGGAACACCCCGGCAACTGTGGGCCTCCGGGTGCCTCAGAAATTTCAACTCCCCAAATGCTGGTATACGTGATGTTCTGGACACTGACAATTCCATACCTGAGGATATGGACATGTATGGGCATGATCCTCATGCTCCACTCCCTGATCCTCAAGAAGATGAGGAAGGAGTGGTGATTGCAAACATAGACTTCGAACTATCAGAGGAGGCTAATGCTGCTTTAACACAGAACTTCACTCCCCTGGTGGAAGACAACAGCTATGGTATTGAAATATATTTACAAGTTCGGGAATTCATTGCAAGAATCATTCAAGAGGAACAATAGAGTACAAATGGTTTCTTGTCTCTTTTTTGAACTTAAACACTCTTTGTTTTTTTTAGTTATTGCTAGGTTAAAGTTCGCTTGTGATTGGCCCAAAAACCACACACTTTATAGACTGGCAATTACAAAACCATGTTTTTTCCAAAACATTTCTTACAGTCTCTTTAAATTTTCTGTAATCACTACGCAGTGGCGGATCCAGACCTTTGGATAAGGGGGGGGGGAGCATTAATCCAAACCCAGAGATAAGGGGGGAGGGCCAGCCTCAAACTAATTTTTTGGCCCTTCGGGCCTCATTTTGGTCTTAAAATAAGGGGGGGGGGCCGTGCCCCCTCGGGCCCCTCCCCTGGATCCGCCACTGCTACCTCTTTAATAGACCAGTGACAGTACGGTTTAAACAAGAACGTAGGATGACCCTTCTGTTAAGGTCACCCTAACTCCAACGTGAAACATTTCATGCTGAACTAACTTGGTCATGTGTGACCAGCCTCCTTATAACGTTCCAGATTGACACTTGAAGAATCTAACGATAACTTGATAAAGTGGACAAGAAAATAATGGCTTATAACTTCATTGTAAATACCAAATGCCTAGTATGTAATGTTCAGGCACCACTTGTTTAAAAGTTGGATAGCACTATCCACCGGAAAAATCACTATCCAACGCATGATTGTTAGGGAAACCAAATTGTGCTATCCAGTGGATAGTGATTTATCCAGTGGATAGCGTTATCCACCTTTTGAACAACTGGGGCCAGATTTTTATCTTTTCCCAACTTGTTACGTTTTCTGGTCACACGTAATGTAGCCTGGAGCCAGTTATAAGGGACTTCCACGTAAGTGTTTCAAAAGGCATTATAAGGGCCATGCATCTATGCCCTGGAATAGTCCAAGCGTAACCCTTTGTTGTTTTCTTAGTGCATTAAATATTGAATCAAAAAACGGAGAGTGGCATTGTCTTGGACTTCTTCCACACGAACTACTTCACTTAAGCAGAGGACATCATCCTTGAGGTTGATCAGTTCTTCTGTCCATGATTTTATTTTCTCTTTCCCTGATTTGGTTTTCCATGAAAACCTACAGAGAGAATATGCAATAACACTGTAAGTGTTTCATTCAAGATATGTACAGTCACATCCCGTTAATAATTAGTGGGCCACAGAAAGTGTCTGTATTGATGAAAAACTGTCCATAATAACAAGGCGTTCATATAACAGCTGTAGCTATCACCTGTAGACATCCGGGAAAAACGGGGCAGAATAAAAAAATATAACATAATCACATAAGTAAACAAAGTCGGCCGGAAATGTGGACCGGAAGTAAATTTGACTTCCAGTTGCTGTCGCCCCCTAGAAAACGTCTGGTGCTTAAGTTCCCTATTATTGTCCAGCAAGCAGAGTGTACCACAATCTAAAACTGTGTCTGCTGACTCCCCTTCTTCATACAGCACCCAGCCAGCAACCAGTTTATCTTTTCTCTGTAAAACAGGTTGGTAATGTACAATGAGGGACAAAAGTGTTGACACACTTCCGTAAAATGGCCCCTTTTTGCTTGGTGGATACACTTATCCCCTTCCCCTGTTTACCCCAACCCCTTCCCCCCAAAATCAATGTTGAATTTTGGACCCTCAAGTCTTTTTTTTACTTCAGACAACATTGATTCGGGGGGTCGGGGGATTTACAGTGTTTAAAAGGAATGAAATAATAAATGAATTAAATGTTTGTTAAAAGCACCCGTTTTAAACAAGTGTGTCAACTACTTTTGTCCCTGATTGTCTGAAATATGTATCTGTGTTTTCCGGCTAGATTTTTGACGCTGCTGAATTTTTGTGTGATGACGTTACTCTATGGGCCAAATTGTTTGTTTTTAAACATCAATTTATAGAGTTTCTTCCTGATTTGTTGTATACGAAGAGTAAAATGTGCTAAGCGTATGTCATTACTTAATCTTGTACTCCCGCGCGCGTTCCTGATACCCTGTCGGGTCGAGACGAAATGATTTGTGTTGTGATCAATGCCGTTGCTGCAGATGTAATGTTTTCACAAGTATTATCAATAGTGGAAAAAGGATGGAAACATTAAGGTACAATGAAAATTGTTCTGGTAAATGGTTAACTTAAGCGAATGAAGTACTGCAGAGTAACAGAGGGGACATGCGATATTTTTGACATTGACCTTTGCCATTAGTGAAAGCACGTGAACAATATACAGGTTATGAACCTCATAAATGATGGGCCAGCCGTTTGTGCTGTGCCCTATATATAGATGTGTTTTTTATTTTTTTGAGACCTTTTCTAACCTAACTGATCCAAACCATTAGCGTAGGTAGGCGTCAAGGTTAGGAATGTACTTTTGTAATGATTTTACATGACCCACTGCCATTT